AAGGCCATCTGGAAGAGGGCAAGAGAATTACAGAACATGAGTTGGACAGTGAAAAAGAAGTTCAGATTCAGGATGCAATCCAGAAGGATCTCACTTCCCCATTTGAGCAGGGCCCTGTATTTAAACAGATTCGAAAAGATTTTAGCATAACGAGAGATAATGGCAAAGAGACTTTTTCAGCAAAGGACAAGAATAGAGAAGGACATTTTCAAGAACGTGAAAAACGGTTGGAAAAAATCCCTAAAGATATGGATTCTAGATTGAAAAGCAGTTTTCTTGACAAAGCAGGTAACTGTTGACATCATAGACCTGGCTACCCAGCAAAAAAGGAAGACAGAACTAGGCAGAAATTAGCAAGAGGGGTAGTTATTAAAAACATCATCCTCCTGAAGAGAAGGTGCATAGCTGTATGTAGGGCAGCATTTTACAAAGAACCCTGAAATACAGTGAGTTCTGTGTTGGGACTAGGATTTGCAGAAGGGCCTGGCAGTGTTAGGGAGGGGCTGTGTCCTCCACAGCTTGTTTCAAAACCTCAACATATCCTTTGTTGTTGTGGTTTACTAATCCAAGCTGGGTGACAATTCAAGCTTCCTTCTGTTTTTCCTCAGTGCTTTTTATAGACCTTGGAACTCCTTAAAAGAAAAATTATGAAGTTTAAGTTAAGTTGATGGCCAGGAAAGATTTTTTTGAGCCAAGTACTAATTCTTCATTAATATATATGTATTTAAAGCAGTATGCATTTGATAGTAGCATTAGAAAAAGTCTTGCTAGAAAGGTGTCTGCAGGAAGTAAGCCAGAGAGTAACATGGGATCTGCTTTTCCTGGGAGACTGCTCTCCTTCCTCAGATACTTGTGTCATGGGCTTTGTCCAGCCAACATTGGAGAGAACCAAAGATGCCTGTAATCCATTTCTCATTTGTTGGAGCCTGACAGTCATCAGTAGCCTTGCTGCCCACACACTTTTTTTTGACTTCCCAAGCTCTGAATGTTACGGCAGAACAGTGAATGAAGGAGTTAAGAGTAACTAGGCTGGAACGTGTGAGTTCATTTTATCCCCAAGACTTTGTGGAGAGAGGGTTGGCCAACAAGTGAGAGATTCACAGCTTATAATGCTGGTATTTCAACTTTGTATGTTTAGTAACAGTGTCTTAAAATCAGGGCTTCCAGGTTCCACAAAATGATAGAGAAACAATACAGATGTTTCTAAAATAAAGAGGAGTTAAAGATGTCTCTTTACTTTTACCTTACCAAGTGAAGAATATTTCTGTGCACTATTTCCCAAGAAGGAGGGGAAAAGGCAAAAGACCAGAACAGCAAAGAAAAGGATCCAAGTTCTTGATCTGAAAAGTATTTTCTGATTTAAATGACAAAACATGGGAGAGTTCATAACCCACTGGGATGTAGAAAATTCTGTATAAACAATTCACCTCAGAATTTTGCAGTCATTTTGCTGGAATGGGAAAATAATGGTCCAGTTGGACAATAGAATAAATGTTGATTCTCCTTAAGGGTTACCATCGTATTTGCAGGAAGGAGGAAGGGAGTAGTTTAGTTCTAAAGTGCTGTCAGGCTGTGGGGTTGGGGATCAGTATGAGATTATAGATAGTTTTAAAGGAAATGCCTTGGAATCTGTATTTATTTATATTTAATGTATATGTTTTCCTCAGTTCATAATCAAGTAGAAGAAACATTACGGACGCAGTTAGCGCCACAAACTCCAGAAACTAACTTCAGGGTAAGCTATAGATCTTTCAAACACTTTTGCAAGTGCAGCAATATACTGGAATAATTCAAAAAACGTATTTTGCATTTGAGTGTAAATTTGAGTATCAAGAAAACTGATCTTCTGACTCGTAGACATCTTTGCTACTTAAACAGTGCATATAATTTTGTAAAATTTTGCTGACCCTCTCTTTGGATTGAGGATTCCTTTGATAGCCACTTTCATGTTCAGCATGGTCTGACAGACTGGTGAGCCGAATCTAGACCTGGATGCATCCATCTGTCCTGCTGCCTTTTTGCCAGATGAGACAGGGAAGAGCTGTATCCACAGGAGACACTGCCCAGACAGCCGAGGGCCCCTTCTGACAACCAACTTAGAGAGCTGGGTGGCTTCTGCTTTGTCCAGAGGAGTGGAAAGGATTGGGGGTGGGATGGCAGAGGGTGCTGCAGCAAGGCAGAGGCAGCAGCTGCTGCCCATCATTTCTCCCACCTTCCAGTGGCAGGACCCATTTCTCTTGGTCTGCCACAAAAACTCCCCTTGGCAGCAGCCCAACTCCTCATGGCAGATGCAGGAGGGTGAATTCTTTTTCATATTATTGTTTCAGGAGTCTAGCTACCTATTTTCTAGTAAGGAATCTATTGGACAAGAGCTGGGGAATTCCTTTGCACCAAATATTAGAATTAAGGAGGAGCCTTTGGATGACGAATATGATAAAGCTATGGCCCCACAGCAGGGACTATTAGACAAAATTAAAGATGAACCTGATAATTCCGAGGTAAGTTTCCCATTGCATTTCTCATTTTGGTCTGACAGCTGACCGCATAAGCTGGACAGAAATTCAGCAATTTATTTGGTTTGTTGACCGAAATTTAACTTGAAGAACGTAGTTTAGTAGAAGGATTTTTCCCTCTTATACTACCATGAAATCCAAACCCCCAGCTTTTTGATGTCATGTTACTATGTCACTGAAAATGTTTCGCTTTTCATTTAGAGACAAAGCAAAGTGCTGTAAAACTTCCATAGTTAAATCTGTGGCAACAGAGACACTTGATCTCAACTCAGTCTCACTAGAAATAAAACGTAAATCGTATTTGGCTGAATGCTTTGTGAGCAGTCACAGTCAGAGATGTGTAGCTGAAACGGTGCTAATCCTGCCACTGTTCTGCTGCCTCCCTCCTGAAGGTTGTCTTTGGGAGCACAGAGGTTCATGGCTTGTTCTTGTTTTAAAGTGACACTTCGAGGTCTTACCTTAGCAAAATATTTCGACACGTACACCTCAGTGAAGTCAATTTAAGCATGTGTTTAATTGACTTTCTCATTTGAGACTGACATTTTTTGTGATGATACAGGTTAAAAGTTCAATAATTGCAAAATGGAGAAAGTCTGACCTATGGATTGAGCGGTGCTGGGGCAAGGATTGCTGAGCTCTAACAGGTCTCTTTGCCACTGGTTTGCCGTGTGACACCAGGGAAGTGATCTGTGTGGCAATTCCTGTCTCCTCACTGCTAATATTTGGGTCATGTACCAAACTTTACATGCAGTTCAAGGTGTGCACAGCTTCCCAAGGCAATTCCTCCCACTGGCATCCACACAAGAGTGCTGGTGTTCTTGTGCAGGCGTTTAGTTTTTCTAGCATCATCCTCTGTACTTCTGCTATACCTCCTCTTCTCTCTGGGCCTGTCTTCCCAACATTTGTTCTACTTTCCCCATAGTACTCTTGGCTTAATAAAATAAAGAAGTAAACTAAGTATTTGAAACTGTTCAGATTTCACTGCCCTTCTGATTTGTTGAGTGTCTGTCACTTTTTTGGTTTTGGTTTTCTTTAAGCGTATATAATGTCAAATTATGTGTAGATTAGTTAAATCTGTCTATTCTTTTGTCCTCCCAAGATGGCATCTGCTGTGGGGATTTGTGTGGAATGCAATATAAGATGTCTGTGGTTATCAAAGATCGTAGTACAAAGTCAAAGAAGTGAAGAATTTAAATATCAAATATCGTATTGTTAAACATATTAATTCCTGGAGTAAAATCCTGTAATTATCAACTCTGCCCGATACTGCAAAAGTATGAGAAATGGTGAAGGTTCATTTTGTTTTGTTTTAGATTGGAATTAATGTGGGCTGTTTGGGTTTTTTCAAGCATCCTGAAAGATAAGAGCATTTCTTGCTGTAGCTGGCAGCTGGAGCCAAAGGATTTTGGCTTTCAGCACTGTTCCACTGCTGTGAAACTAGACTTAACCAGGCACAGTTGGTGTCAGGATTTACCTCCATTTCTCGTACTAGTGTTGACTAAGTTTAAAACTGCCGTTAAAATGCTTAAAAACCTGTATTTCTGCAAATACCTAGTTTTAAAATGGTACCATTAAGAAAGCTGTAGTGCTTTAAAACGTGTCATCCCAAGATGCCTGTACCCAGCTTAGAAACTCCTCTTACTTGAGCTTTTAATGTTTCATTCTGATGGTTCACGTGATGAACAAATAGCATTGCCTGTTCTCCTAGGAAACCTGTTGAAGAAATAGTTGGGTTGTCTTAGTATAGAAACTTTTTATTTTCCCACAGGAGTAGAATTGTGAAGTTTAAGCCAGTATTACATGGATGTTAGTGTGTGGTTATAGGAAGTGGCTTAAGCTGAGGGAGCAGTTCACTGCCACTGCGAAGCGACAGCTTAATTTTCCATAGTGATTTTGAATTGGCTTACCTTGCAGCCAGACAGCAGCCGTGAATTTAGCTCAGTCATAACATGACATCATGCCCTCGCTACTCTCAGATGACTGTAAGTAGGTTAAATCTTACCATCTCTGTAGTTCCAAAGAGATTATGCTTTTCAGCCTATTAAGATTTACATGCAGAGTGTTACAAGCTGCTTTACAGTTCAGATTTCTGGGGAGGGCACGGGCAGAAGCATGGTGTCAGAGTATGAATAGCTGCTGTGGAGTGAGCTGGTAATTCAGAGTATGTCAGCTATTCCACAAGCACTGTCTGTGGGGATTTTCTCCTCCTGTAGAAAGCATGAGGTTGTTTCCCTCTCACTGAAGCCAGTCTGAGCAGGGACTGTGATGGTCTGGCATTAGTGGTGCCAGCTTTGATCTGCTGCAAAGCTCCCCCCAGGCTCCTCCAGGGTACTTCACTCCTGGTTAAGTACAGAAGGCTTCTCACTGTCTAGGTCCCAGTCCCTGTTCCACCATTATCATCTGTGAACATGAAGATAAAGCTTGTTTCACAGAGCAGGGGCAAGGGCTTCAAAGCATTCCTGGATGGAAGGTCTGTGAGAGGAAAGCAGAGATTTCTCTTAAGCTTTGTCCAGCTGAATTCTGAGGAGTCTTGAGAACGAATTGGAAGGGGGATCCACCAGACAGCCTTGCTTTTCCATTTCTACACAATACCCTTGGTTGCAGTTTGCTGTGAACCTCTGAGCAGGTTCTGTGTGTGGTGCTTAGACAGCAACATCTGTTAACTTGGCCTTTGGAGCAGGCTTGGGAGACTCACTCTTCCTTAAGATTTCAGTACAGCGTTATGAAAGAATGGAAATCATCTCACCTGTTATTACATGTGTGTATTTGTTCTCCTTTTCCTTTCCTTTGTTTTAGGAGTACGGCCAACAGCCAAAAACTCAGGAAGGGGAGCTGAAAATCAGTGCTGTATTTTCAGTCAGTGGCAGTCCTCTTGGTAAGGAACAGGCATATCTAAATCTGTAAAATATATCACTTTTGCAAATAGTCTTGCAGTTTATTCTGCATTTTCTTTTCTATGTCTGACCCCAGTGGGTCAAAAAAATTTTTTGAGAGACAGTGAAATTCAGAGATACAAAAATACCATATTTTTGAAGCAAAGGAAAATTAAATGTGAAATAGATGGTAAAAATGCTCTCTCAGTCCTAAGGGTAGTTGAAACAGTCTGCTGTGCAGAAAACAAGCACAGGGCATGTATTTATGACAGCTTCATCTGCTATTTAATTCTCTCTTAGACCCTGACAACCCAAATGAAGTCATAGGCTTTGTGCATGCCCCCTGCACAGAAGTGAATTACGTGTGATATGTATGTAACAGTTACTCTATGTTTTCTCTGTGTGTTTTTCTTTTTTTCAGCTCCACAGCTGTCATCAGGTTTCCAGCCTGCTGTGGCATCCTCTGGCATGAGTAAAATGCTTCCTTCAGTTCCAGCCACAGCTGTTCGGGTTTCCTGTTCTGGCTGTAAAAAAATCCTGCAGAAGGGGCAAACCGCATACCAGAGGAAAGGCTCTACCCAGCTCTTCTGCTCCACACTGTGCCTCACTGGATACACTGTTCCAGCCTCTCGCCCACCAGCTTCCACCAAGAAAACCTGCTCAAGCTGCTCAAAGTAGGACAGTGTTTTAATTTGTTCTAGTAATAGTTGATATCCAATCAGATAACGAAAGGCTTCAGTTCTCTATTTACACAACATGCTGCTTCTGTAATGCCTGCTTCTGCTATGCTTCCCTTCAAAGAATTCAGGCTGGTTGTGTTACTTGTTAATTGGTCTGTCCACTTTCAGATCCACTTCATTAATTGGATTTTACATACACATACATTTAAAAGCCTGTTATGCATCTTGTCTTGATTTAAATGAGCCAGATATGAAAAATGGTGTTTCAAAGTTTCCAGTGCTGTTTTAAAATGTGATTGCACTCTCAAAACCACTAACAAGAGCACATTTTAAAAAAAAATATTTTATATATTATTTTTTTCTAGATGAAAATAGATTTACTGAATGCCTAAAATGAAATAAAGCATGGGTAAATGAATACATTTGAGGCAGGATATTTCCTCCAGGTTCTAAAGAAAAAAATTAACTTTCCAGTGTGGCTTCATTCTGAGAGCTTAGATTTCTGTAGGTCTCAGCTCTTCAAAATATGTCAATACTGCTTTCATAAGAGGTAGAGAGATTAATTTATTAAGAATTGAGTTTTTTAGGTAGTTGAGGCTTCAGCACCTGAATTAGTTACTTTCTACCTAGGCCTGGAGTGGGAAGGCAAGGTTTGCTGCTGTGAGATGACTTGGAAAAAAATTCTTTAGAAAAGCTACATTTTCCACAGTCCTGTTGGAAACACAGGCCTGAATCTTCAGCTCTAAAAAATAACATTTTAATAATTAAAATTTTGTGTTCATTATATCATTATGTCCAAATTAACGAAAAGACACCTCTGTCGCTTACTCTTTAAGGTGACATCTTACTGTACCACTGATGTGAGGCAAATAAATACCTTTGCAGACTGATTGTGCTGCAGTCTGTTTATAAAGGACTACTGATATGCATTATTTTTAGTTATTAAAGTTACTTCACAAAAGAAATGTGGCTTTGTTCATCATTTCTTCAACAACACATTTCTTGCTTTCCGTTCTACAGGGTCAACTGAACTTAAATTTGAGACTTCAGTTAATTTTTTTTTTCACTTGTGTCTCGTTGTGAAGAGGCCTTGTTACAAAGTTTAGTAGTCTTGTCTGTAATTTGTATTTATTCTGTTGAAAAATGGTTTACCTCTGACAAGTAAGGAGGAGGCATCCTTCCAACCAAGAAAATGACATAAATATTTCCTCTTTGGGTACTTTCTGTGAACAACTGTTTCAAAAGAAAGAAGAAATGAAGAGAAAGTTCAGTTTGTCAACCAAGAGAATGACATAAATATTTCCTCCTAGTTTTTTGATTTAAGAGCTTTGGGTACTTTCTGTGAACAACTGTTTCAAAAGAAAGAAGAAATGAAGAGAAAGTTCAGTTTGTCAAATCCAGCAAATAACAAATAAACAAAATTATAGATGGGAGATGAGAAATAGGCAGTCACAATATTAGTCAGACAGTTCTGGACTGAACTACATGGTGATTACAAATTGTAACCTTTCATTTTTCCTTTTTTCTCCCCTACCCCATTATGACTGGCATTTTCATTGTTAGAGGAAATTATTCCACATACCCTGCTTTCTAATTTATTTATTTATTTTTTTTAGCAAATACTGTGCAAAACAGTTATTTGGTCCCAGTTCCTTTTGAAAAGATGTAATGATGTGGCTTGATGCCTCTATAGGCCACTTGAAAGTCCAGGTACAAAGTGTTTCACAAAATATCTACTTGAGAATTGTACTTCTTAACTATTTTTCTAATAGAAGAAGAAAACTGAAGTCAGGTACTTAGATCAGCAAACAGAAAAGCATGAAATTGAGTGAGTCCACCCTCTTGTAGAGAATGTTTAGTCTGCAGCAGAAGAAAGGACAGCAAGTTGACATGAAACCAACATTTATTCTTTATCTCTCTGTTTGTTTTTCTTTTATCCATAGAGACATTGTAAATCCAAAGGATGTAATCACTGCCCAGTTTGACAATACAAACCCCAGTAAGGATTTCTGCAGCCAGTCTTGTCTTTCTACATGTGAACTGAAGATGAAACCCATTGTAACTATCCACACTAACAGCATTTCAACCAAGTGCAGCATGTGCCAGAAGAATGCAGTGGTAATTGCAAGCTCATTTTTAATTCCCTTTAGATCAGGACAACTTGCTAGCTCAGAGATGAACACACATATTCTTTGTGTCTTTGTTATATATATATCTCCCACTTCTCTTCCAGATCAGGCATGAGGTGAACTACCAGAACGTTGTGCACAAGCTCTGCAGCGACGCCTGCTTCTCCAAGTTCCGTTCAGCGAACAACCTGACCATGAACTGCTGTGAGAATTGTGGGGGATACTGCTACACTGGCTCCGGCCAGTGTTACATGCTGCAGATTGAGGGACAGTCAAAAAAGTTCTGCAGTTCAGCATGTCTGACAGCATACAAGCAGGTATGTTTTGACAGAGTATTAAAAATACATCTTTGATTGGATTTTGGGTGTTTTAAGAAACACGCAGTTTTTTAGTTGATGATTTCAGTTACTGTTAGGGTCTAAGATAGCTCCTTTTGCCAGTTGCTGCTTCATCTTTGCCCATACATGTTCTGTTTCCCTTACCACTGAACCAGCTGGCAGAGTATTGCAGGGGGAGAGAAGACACTCAGCAGCAGTCCCCTGTGACTTTTTTCAGCCTTTGATATGCTCCCTGTTTGAGTATCCTCTATTAAATTGTAGCATTTGAATTAATTGTAGAGCAGAAGTAATAGTTGGTAATTTTTAGTTTAATTTTTAAACTTTAAAAAATTTATATTTTATTATAATGGAACTTCTTAAAGAGCTGTGCAGTTGAAAGAACCTTTATTTGTTAGAATAGCTCAATTATTTTTAGCTGACTTATTTTAATATAATTACTTTAGAAAAAACTGCCATCTGATAAGATAGGGTAACTTAATTTTGTGACTTGACTCTGCTACACCATTATTCAGACCATTTAGGCCAAGAAGGGCCTAATGAAATTTTAAAAAAAAATATCCAGTTAAAGTATTTAATCCAGAAAATTACCTACAGCATTAGTTGTTCTTTGAAAAACATCTGGAAATTAAATGGAATAAGCTGGAAAGGAGAGGGTTTTCATACTACTGCCCTGCAAAGGCCATACTCAGAATGAGAGAGAGCCCAGATCTCAGGTGGTCAAAGTGTGAACCTAACAAACATACTGGAGAACTGGAGAAGTGGATCTGCATCATAAATAATCCATCTGTAATATAGGCGCTGTTTTAAGTGCACTGCCAGCCACTTTTATACACATTTTATATGTCAGCAGTTCATTTCCAGGTTAATAAAAATATTGAGTTTCCAATGGATTGATAGATGTTGATGTTTCCACAGAAGTCAGCTAAAATTACACCTTGTACACTGTGTAAATCTTTGAGATCTTCAGCCGAGATGATAGAGAGCACAAGTAACCTGGGAAAAACGGAACTGTTTTGTTCTGTAAACTGCTTGTCAGCATATAAAGTAAAAATGGTTACTTCTTCAGGTAAGTTTCTCATTTTACTTCTTTAGAAGCATAATTTTACTTCATTTTTCTTGCACGTTAGGGCTGATGCTCCTTTTTGGGAGGGTGGGAATTGGCTTTTATTTTTTTGAAGGGAGGTGCTGAGATGGGAACGTAAGGACGTTCTACTGTAGATAAATTAATAGTGGCAGTACAGTCATTTCAGCTTTGATTTTCCAAAGCTTAAACATGATAATAAACCTGAAACTGTTTTCTGCTCTTGCAAGTGCAGTTGGTGGATTTCCCAGCTACACCAATCCACATCTGTGGCCATAGGCCCTGACAGTGCTGTGACTGCTCTGCCCTGCTTCTCTAGGGCGATTAGCTTAGTTACCTCTGCCTGTGGTTGTGTTGAGCTAGGCACACATACTCACAGCTATTTTTCTTGTAAAACAGAAAAATGCTTACTGACATCCTAGGGATACTGGGAGATTAATTAGAGGATCTGGCAAGCAACAGGCACTGCAGCTGCAGTGTCTGCTTCTGAATCTGTAGAAACTTCATCTTGGGCTTCTGTGTGCACCTTGGCTTGTCATTCACATTCACTGGTTTTGTATGCACAGTGCAAAATTATCTGCAATACAACCTGACGTTGCATAAATCACTTTTTCTTCTCTGTTTCACCCTCAGGTGTTCAAGTTCAGTGCAACAGCTGTAAAACTTCATCAAACCCTCAGTATCACTTGGCTATGTCAGATGGGAGCATACGCAATTTTTGCAGCTACAGTTGTGTAGTAGCTTTTCAGGTGTGACATCTAGGATTTCTTCTTAGCTGAATTAACAGAATAATGAATTGATGGCATGGATATCTGGGATGTCGGGAAGAATATGGAATGTTGTAAAATAAAATCTATTCCTCAATTTGTTTTCCTGCAGAATTTGTTCAACAAGCCTGCAGGAGTGAACTCCTCAGTGGTTCCTCTGTCTCAAGGTCAAGTCATTGTAAGCATTCCCCCGGGGGCAACGGTATCGACCAGTGGCTCCACCTCCACAGTGTCCCCCAGCTCCATGAGCACCTCAGCTGCAGCTGGTCTCCAGAGGCTGGCTGCCCAGTCCCAGCAAGTCACTTTTGCCCGTCCTGTTGTAAAACTCAGGTGTCAGCACTGTAACAAATTGTTTGCGACCAAACCAGAGCTGCTTGACTACAAGGTAATAAAGATCAGGGCTTTGCAAGCTTCTGTTTGTCAACAGAAAACCAAGAAATGGTAGCTGATGTGCAATGGTCTGTCAGTACTGCTCTGTTCCTTACCTGCTGTGGAGGAATTTGGAACTGATTTTGGTATCATTTAACCAGTATCAAAGTGAATATTAATACTAGCTCTTTGATCTTAAAAACAGAAAAAAATAACCTCAAAAAAAAACCCAAACCCTTTGGTTGCTTGGCTAGGTCACAGCTCTGATTCTTTGTCCCAGAGATGATCCTTTTAATTTCAGGACAAAGCACACTGGTGAGGGCTCTCAGCAGATAATTTTACTGTGTTTCACAGCTAAGTGGTGTGCTAAGAGATTTATTTGCTAGTACTCTCTGTTGATTTCTCAGGGTCATAAATACACTTCTGAGGTTTTATTAATGAAAATGTTATTACCTGGGATGTGAAATGCTGAAACCCAAACATGCTGGCTGTGTTGCAGGGTAAAATGTTCCAGTTCTGTGGGAAGACCTGCTGTGATGAATATAAGAAGAGGAGTGGTGTAATGGCAATGTGTGAATACTGCAAAACTGAGAAGATTATTAAGGAGACAGTGCAATTCTCAGGCACAGATAAACCCTTCTGTAGTGAAGGTAAGAATGGGCAAGACTACGTCTCAGACAAAGCAAGTCAGAAGTGTTTTGCCTTAAAATTATTGGTGATATTAAGAGAAACCTAATCTTTTTAGGTTTAGAAACACAGAACTTTGTTCACACTTTACATTTTAATGGCATGTTTCAACAAGTACTACAGACATAACAAAATGTAAGAACCAGAAGTGTTGAGCAAACATGATTTTGATACTGAACTATGTTTTTTAGGTTTTGGTTTTTTCTCTTCTTTTAGGTTGTAAACTACTCTATAAGCATGACTTGGCTAAACGCTGGGGAAACCACTGTAAAATGTGCAGTTACTGTTTACAGGCTTCTCCCAAACTGGTCCAGCATCACTTTGGGGGGAAAATGGAAGAATTTTGCTCAGAGGAGTGCATGTCTAAATTCACAGTTTTGTATTACCAGGTAAGCAATCTCACAGAGCATCCTCTAGAATATGAATGTGTTACCAAAAGAACCTTCATATGTTAGGAGCTGAGTGAACTGCCTGTAATCGACTTCTGTGTCAATGGAATGTGTTGTAGTATATGCAAGAGATGTGTAAATCCTGCTTAACTTTTGAGTAGCAGTTTTCTGTGTAGAGAAAAACTAATATGGGTTGTGGGAAGACAGACCCTGACTGTTCTGCTTTGTGTTACACTGAAAAAATGATGCCAGTTTCTTCACACTATATTTGCTGAGCAGGGTGCAAAGAGGTTTTTATACACCTACTCTTTGTTGCTGTTTACAAGTGTGTTTAATTTCTCCCTCACTCTGTTTTCCTAGATGGCAAAGTGTGATGGTTGTAAGAGACAAGGAAAACTCAGTGAGTCCATGAAGTGGCAAGGGGAGATCAAGCATTTTTGCAATCTGCTATGTATTCTGTTGTTCTGTAATCAGCAAAGTGTTCCTGACCCTCCAGCCCCAAACAACACAGGTAAACCAGCTTGGGACTAGTGTTGCATTTTGGTGTGCATGATGGTGGTATGAACATTTATTTGGAAACTCAGTTCAGTGAACTTTTGAAGCTGTATCTTCTACTCGGGTGCTTACCCATTGCCTTTGGATGGGCTCATTTTTAGATCTCTTTCTTAGTTCAGACAGTTTCAGACTTCTGCAGGTATGAAAGGAAATTGCTTCGTATACCAGACCTAGGCTGTGATTTTAAAGAAGATGTAAACCACTTTTTTTAATCACTTTCATGAAGCACAAGCCCATTTTGTTGGGGTAGAATATACTGGTATCTGTTGAAGGCATGTTAAGTGCCTGGTTTGTTGTAGAACCTGAGTGCTGCTGTAATCCATACTATGACAAACAGAAGTTGATATTATACTGTAGTGAGCTTCTAAAATGCTTCAGTGACTGGAAAACAGTTTAAGTTTGCTTGTGTGGCCAGCTCCTATTTAAACTGAAATGCTGCAGTTTGACACCAGGGTTCCCCTCTCGTAGAGCAGGCGTTTTCATTTGGAAATAAATCTGGTGGGTGAGTGCTGTTTTATCTTGTTGCTTATTTTAGTTTTCTTCTATTTGCTCTGTCCAGCAAACCTTTCTATGGCACCAGCTTCCTCCTCAGGCCCTCCTTCTTTGAGAAAGGACTCCACCCCTGTCATAGCAAATGTGGTGTCCCTTGCAAGCACCCCCGCTGCCCAGCCTACGGTTAACTCCAACAATGTTTTGCAGGGTAAGACTGCTCAATATGATGCCTTTATTATTAAATCTTTATTCCTGAACATTTATATTTATTCAGGGACCTTTTCCACTAAGGACAACAGCCACTTCTTCACTATGCTTCACATCAGTGCAGGCAGTCACAGTTTTGTCCTTCCTTTACCTAGGTAGCAATAATGACTTAAATTTATGTACGTACACCAGGGAATGAGGTTTAATGAGTGTTGGTTTTCTTGACCTTGGCAGAGGATGGGTTATGGTCCTTGATGATAAGTGCACACGTTATTATTATGTGCTTTTTCTTTACAGGTGCAGTCCCTACTGTGACAGCAAAAATAATAGGAGACGTAAGTTTTACGAGCGACTTTTTCTCACTTTGGCCCAGATTGTATCAATAACAAGTAAAGTATCCAAGAATTTTGCACCGTCGTTTTGTAACTGCTTTTCCTGGTTCTGATTGGGCTTTAAAATTCATCTAGCTTGCAGATGGCTTTTTTTAATATGGGTAGAACTCATATGGTATAGAATTCTCTTTGTGTCCACAGATTGATTAAATGTTTTAAGACAGAGCTTGTCAAATTGCAGCTCATGGGATGGCTGTAGTCCTCAAGCATTCATGTGTGGATTCTGAACTTGAGGCTACCTTTTGTGCCCAAAAGCAGGTTGTGATGTCAAAAGGACTAGCATGGGCTTCTGGGGCTGATGTGACCAAGCTTTTGCAGCTCAGGTTTCCTTTCCCACCCTCTAGTAGTGCGGTGACAGAGTTGTGGGGAACCATTGTCACCACTTCTCTGTGAATAACTCCTAGAGTTCCTATTCCTGAGCTCTTTGAGGTGTGTGGTATACTCCTTGCAACTCTCTTAAAATATGAAGATTTTATTATGTAGATCATACCTTCTGGAAGACAGACAGCCTTGCCTTTAGCTGAAGTGCCATTTATGGATGAGAGTATGAATTTTCCCTAAGGAAATAGATCCTGTTATTTGAATGCATGAATGAAAATTAGAGTTAGCAGGACATGAAATTAGTACAAGCACGAATAGTCAGTCTGTGTGTAATTAGGGGGTGATACCAGTACTGCTGGTATTTGTGTTCTTTTTTAACTTTATTTCTTTTCAGTGGTTTCACATCAGTTTACTGAGGTTTTTTGAGTATCTGTATCAGCCAGACTATTAGTCATCAAAAGCATCTTAGCATAACTGCTCTTTATATCTTTGTCATCAGTCAGATTCCAAGGTCAAAAGTTTGTAAAGGTCATTTGGCTACAGAAGCCAAACATTCTTGCAGATTTGTTCACTGCAATGTTAACAACAACAAAAAGGCTGTTGTTTGATTAAAACAAATTGGAGTGAAGACCAGAAAGTATGAAATACATCAATGAACTGGTTTTGCAGTAGTTTTTCAATGATCGTTTTTATCAGCAAGGAGAATTTCAAATTGTTCAACTGCCCATAATAGAGAATAAATGTTAATCTTATGATGTCCTTCAAAGCAATACTGACTCTGCCCTCACTGATTTTCCAAACAGGCTAGTACTCAGACTGATGCCCTAAAGTTACCATCATCACAACCACCAAGACTTCTAAAAAACAAAGCATTGTTATGCAAGCCAATCACACAGACAAAGGCCACCTCATGCAAACCACACACACAAAACAAAGAATGCCAGACAGGTATGTATCTATCTTCCCGTTTTATAAAGGTATAAAGGTCTGTATTGCAGCTGAGAGAGTAACATGTGATAGGTGTAACAAAGAGTGCTTTTAATGTATTTCAAAAGCTTAAATAATTCTCAGTGTTGTATGGTATTTTCCAAGTAGCAGTTTGCTTTACAGATGTAAAATAATTGCTGGGTTTTTTTAAATCCAAAAAGCTTTGTGTGTGGTGAATCTTGAGATTTGCTTTAACTCATCTTCAGCATTCTGTGATTGTCTTAACTGTGGGGAATGAAGTGCAATGGTTAAGTGACGTGCAAAAGGCCACAGAGGGAACTTATTTTCCTGAGGACAGAATTTGTGAGTTCGTGGCTCTCACAGCTCAAGCCTCAAGAGCAGACTCTTTTTAATAAAGTGCATGATTTTTTAAAGATTATTTCAACTTTCATTTTCCTTTAGTTATTAGGTACAGGTACTAAGAACCTATGAAAATGAAGTCCCTATTTCTAACATCATTTCATTAGATGCATATTTGCTTCAGGCTCCTTCTGTGGGAGTGCTGGGAGGAAAGAGAAGCACCTTTAAAGGCTATTTCATAGTGCAGCTTGCCATTATGGAGTGCTTTCTTCATCATTGTTACTACAGAAGGAACTTAGGCTATCTAGCCTTGATGTAAACCTCTCAGTGAGAAGGATAAAGTTTAGTGGGAAGATCATAGTTGTTTTTTTAATGTTACCTTTTTATGGTCTTGTAGTCGACTGTGTGATAACTGCAGTAACACACCATTTACTTGGATGCAGACCGTAGTATTTAATCCTTCTGTCCACTCTCTTCCCTTCCAGCATTCATGAATACAGTCACAGTGCTGTTTATTTCCCAGCTGTAGTTTTAGTACTTGTGAAAAAGTAATACTTTCACTTGTTAGTGAACCAAGACATGGGACTGTGCATGCTGAGTTACTAACAGAAGTCCAGATGATTAGCAGGGACTCTGGAGCGTGCTGGATAGTCATGTGGATAAACAGGTTTTGTTTTGTTCTGTTTTTTGGTATAACAGAAGAAGTTCAACCCCGGATCATTGTGGTACCTGTTCCTGTACCAGTGTTTGTGCCAGTGCCCCTTCACCTCTACACGCAGTACACACCAGTTCCACTTGGGATGCCAGTACCTGTAAGTCATGCTTCAGTTCACTAGAGAAGTGGTTTACAGTTTTGTTTCTGAGCAGGACACAGAGAAGTCTTTGGGTTTTGTGACTAGTTGTGCAAGTGGTATTTGGAGTCCCTGAAGCCATTTCTTTCCATGTCACATGACAGTGTGATTTGTGTGGTGTGAAGCATCATCACACAAAACTACCAATTTGTTGTTGCAGAAACTAAGCCAGCTATCCAAGCTGGAATTATTTTAAAATTGAATTTAGTAGTCCTAAAATATAAGTAAGGTGAAATGAGAGGAATCTCCCTTGTATATTTGCTGTTTCCCTGCACCCCCAAACATGCTCTGATGCTTTCCACATGTTCCATAGGTACCAGTGCCCATGGTGTTCCCAACCACCCTGGATAATGCTGACAAGATCGTTGAATCTATTCAGGATATCAGGGAAAAGAGTCCCACAAATCCATTTGAAGCTGATCTCCTTCAGATGGCAGAAATGATTGCAGAAGATGAGGAGAAAGAAAAAACGCACTCTCATGGTGGTATGTGGTGTTTTTAAACAGGAAGCTAAATAAAGTGAGACTGACATCCTCAGGAGATAGAGAGATAGGTGTAGGGCCTAGACTGGCTGCCTCCCAAGTATGCACCCCAAGGTAAATGGTCCTGCTGTCTTGCCAACATTTATTTTCCATAATGAGAGTGTTCATGCAGGTAAAGTGCCAGCCTGGACAGGACTATAACGCTTACGTTGTGTCTTAGCAGTTTTGATTACTTACTCTTTTAAAATGAGGAGGCCTTCTGGGAGTTAAGCTGAGCTGTATATTTGGAGATCATTTTGCCTCTGGATACAATATTCTGTTCTTTGCTTTGAAAACATATTTTCTTTTAAGATTTAATTTATTCTTCCTCTATAGTTCCCCTTTCAGTTGCTGATTGTAGTTGCACCTCTCTGAAGCTTTAGTAATTTCACAAGGGTTTATCAGTCAACATTCAGTAGAACTCTGCATGACATAGAACCCATGTGAGATCCTGAGCACTGACAGTGGTTTAGATGTTTCCCTTTCCCTGGTCCTAGGTGCTGATTTGACTTTTGTTGACAGTAACAGATTAGAAGAGGTAGTAATCTGCAGATCAGTACATCATGCATTAGCAGGAGTAAAAATGAAGATGACAGAGCAGCTGATTTACAAGAATATTTTCCTATCAGGCTTTTTATTGTGGATTCTAGGAGGGTGGTGCAGGTAAGAGCGTGTTGGATAGCGATTATCCCTTGTAATAAAAGTGGAACAAGCTGAAATGAACAAAATAACTTGTCTACAGATGACACAAATAACAAACACGGAGGGATGGAAATGTTTGGAAGAGCAAATGTATTAGTTCTGCATTTGTGTTTCTCCCATAGCAGCATGACCAAGGTAGAAAGCTGTTAGGAGAAGTCTAGTGGGGGAGAAGGCACATCATGTGTGTTAGTATTATGACCTAATGCATAGGGGTTTTTTTGTTCAAAGCACTCTGTATTAGTTATGTATGCTTTCAATCAGTTGTAGATGCAGATTTTCTTCTTTTCCTAAAGGATCTCAAACATCTGAGCATGAACTCTTTCTGGACCCCAAGATATTTGAGAAAGGTCAGTTAGTTTGGTTTTTTTTTTTGCAAATGGCTTTTGATGCTGCTTTATCTTTTGCATGCCCCTCTCTTTGTCTGCCCTTTCCTATAGCACCTGCTGTATCTGATCACTCTCATTACAGACCAGGGTAGCTCTTACAGTGGTGATCTGGAGTCAGAAGCTGTGTCCACTCCACATAGCTGGGAGGAGGAGTTAAATCACTACGCCTTACGATCAAATGCCCTGCCAGAGCCAGAGCCAGAGCTGAAGCAGTTCTCCAAAGGTGATGTGGAACAGGACCTCGAAGCAGATTTTCCATCAGGTCAGTATAATGTGGAGAAAACTGCACTGTTGTACACAAGATTTTCTGAGTAAGCATTGTACCAGCAGCCTGCTTATGAAGGGGGTGTGTTTTCATGTAGTAGAACTGGATATTTAAAGCTGCAGTAAAATATCAGCTCTACTAAAAATTACAATTGAAAAAATATTACTGGTGTCTTTAAAGGCAGCATTCTATAGAACCCTGGACAGGAGTAGCAGGTGGCCTTGCTTGAGTCCTTTGAATTTATCACTTGTGTGTCCCTACATATAATCCAGGTGAGTGGTGCAGAAGAATTTAGGTTTACCTGAGCAAGGGCACCGACTGGTGGGGTGGCTTTTTCCCTCTTCAGAGGGTTTAATTGCTTTATACAGAAAGGACATAGGTTGCCTAATTATTAAAAGGTAAAGCATCATTTGAATATACAGGTTTGATTGCAAACTGTAAGATATATCCATAGTATCTAAGTGACACTTCTGCCTGGGCTGGTAAATCATATAATTAAACTCTTAATGGTGTTGATTTGACTTCAGACTCCTTTGACCCTCTCAGTAAAGGACTGGGGTTGCATTCACGTTCTCGAGCGAGACGGAGACACAGAGATGGCTTCCCACAGCCCAAGAGACGGGTAAGAAAGTCCCTCTGGGACACACCCTCCTTGCCTGGGGAGTCAGAACACACTGCACATGCTTATTCTCAGAAGTAAAAAAATACACTCCAGGGTGAAAATGAGAATTGAGTTAAACCACACTGTGTATTTTTTCCTGTTTTGCTGTAGGAGATAAGATTTTTCTTTCCTCCCCCTCTGCAACTAGGTAGAAAAAAATGCTCTTTTTAGTACAAAACATTTAACAAGTGTATATTGTTTCAAAAAACTCCAAAAGAAATGTCTTTTGAGTAGTGTCATAATCTACGGGAAAGAACTTTTTTTTCTTCTGTAGCTAGAGAGGAATATGTTTCTGTTCATATCTACCACAGTGAGAATTTCTGTATTTTATTGCACCTTTTCTGTAAAGTGTGGCTAGCATTTATCCACGTATTAAAAAGATATAAACACCCACTCAGATTCTGCCACGAGAGTAGGATTTTGTTATGATGTCAATATAATGGAGGTTTTTTTGTGGGCTCAAGTTCAGAGCTTATTCAGTGCTTGGTCTGATGTGTCTGTTCTCCCGCAGGGCCGGAAGAAGTCTGTGGTGTCTGTGGAGCCCCGGAACCTGATGCAGGGCTCCTACCCAGGCTGCTCTGTTTCTGGGATGACCCTGAAATACATGTATGGGGTAAACGCCTGGAAAAACTGGGTCCAATGGAAAAATGCACAGGAGGAACAAGGGGACCTGCAGTTTTCAGGTAATTTTTCCTCTCCGAGTAGAAACAGGAATATTTAGTTGAAGAGCACTTGGTGGAATATGCTGTTCAAAAAAATGAGGATTAGATATTTCTGAGTTTTAAAATACCCATGGGTGAAGAAAGAGTTTTGCAGAATACTGTCTTACATCTTTTAATGCATTTAAGAATCATAGCTCTTCCATTCTTAATTGTCCTTTTGCCTATTAAAACAGGCTCTAAAATACCAGATTTCTTTTTGATCTTAGAAATGTTGGTCTTTTAACCTCCACTTTGTTCATTTGCACATAGTAATTCTTCATTTGTAGAAGAGATGCTTTATGCAGCTGAAGGGTCTTTACTGATCTATTATCAGGCCCTAGTCTAAGTTGACAACACGAACTTGGCTCCATCTTTTTTTTCTGAAGCTAATGCTTCACAAAGTATTTGTCAGCATAACTGTTTTAAAAATATTGTGTGCTACAACATTAAAATCTGAGCATCTTATTTGTAGGCTTCAAAGCCAGAAAGAAGCCTTCCAAAAGTCACCCATTCTGTGCTGCACCTTGTCTGGAACTAACTTTAAAAGGCATGAATTGTTCCTTTTATCTGCCTAGGGTGATAGATAATAATGACAATATAAATGTCACTTATGTTTGGTTTTCTAATTACAGATTTTTTGGTTTTTTTACAAAAGCACATCAGTCCTGGGATTTGGCAGTGTCTAACTCCCCTTTCCCCTGGCCTCAAATCTGTTTTACATGTTTGCAGTAAGAGTTTGGTGAGGAAATTTTCAGAGTCAAGCAGAGAATTTAAGTTAGGAGTATAATTGAGTTATTGGGGCATGGTGGGGAAGAGAGCAAATCATATTTAATACTTCTGCAATGTAAAGAACTAAGTGTGGTAGGACTTACATGAGGAAGATCCCAAAAGGAAAAATTCTAAATAGGAGATCTACTTTTTCTTCTTTTATTTGGAATTTTTGTTGTTGTTACATGAGGACATCTGGTTTTTGTTTCCCAGAAGAAGATTAACCACATGCGTTACTGTGTTTTCTTCTTGTGGATAAAAAGCAAATACCTCAGGCAGTTCCAGGAAACCATCTCCACTCCCACCCCTCCCAGAACAATTCCCTGCTTAGTCCCCAGCAGGCACTTGCCAGCCAGGCCTGGTCATTTCACTGCAGATCCCTTGATCGATCGATTCCCTGGTTGCTCTGCTTTCCTTTCCAAATCCCATTCATGTCCTGCTAAACTCTTCATTCCTTCTCCCTTTAAGGAGTCAAATATGCTGCACCCAACTCATGTCCAGAACTATCAGGAAATACTCCAGATCTTTCTCTCACTGGGGATTCCCCTGAGTCCAGTTACAGAGGTGAAATCTATTTATCAGCCCTGCACTGCCTTTGCTGTGCCACCTCTTGGGTTCAGCA